GGGTATGGATAGAACAACCTTAGTGATAACATGTAAGTAGCAAAGAATACAACTAAGTCTATACCCTTCTTAGTGAATAGGGGTGTGAAAAATTAGTCTTTTTGTTGCCTTTTCAGGTCTCCAGTGGAGTGCCTAAAGGATCTATGCTAAGTCCATGCTATTTGATATTTTTATTAATGACTTTGACATAAACATAGATGGTAGGCTTATCAAATTCACAGATGACACAAAGTGGAGAGAAATGGCTAACACAGGATCCAAGAACTTTACAGGATAGGGCAATGGTTCTCAACTTTTTGGTCACTGGAACCCATTATGCTCTTAAAAATTATTAAGGATCCCAAAGAGTTTTTGGTTATAATGGGTTATATCTATAGATATTTACTGTTGTTGTTCAGTCATTTCAGTCATTCTCCATGACCCCATTTTTGGCATTTTCTTGGCAGAGATACTGGAATGGTTCTCCATTTCCTTCTCCAGCTCATTCTACAGATGAGGAAACTGAGAAAATCCTTAATCTTGATTAAGTGACTTGCCCAGGGTCACACAGCTGAGGTCATGTTTGAACTCAGTCTTCCTGACTCCAGGCTCCACAGCGCCACCTAGCCACTATATTAGAAATTGAAACTGACAAAATTTTAAAATATTTATTTTAAAATAAAAATAAACTTATTTATATTAACAAATTTTAATGAGAAATGTTACAAGACAAAAAATTTGGTGAGAGTGGCATCATTTCACATATTTTTTACAAACCTCTTTAAACCTGTCTAGCTTAATGAGATAGCTGGATTCTCATATCTATTTCTGCATTCAATCTAATATATTGTTTTGGTAAAATATATGAAGAAAATCCAGTCTCACACAGATATGTAGTTGGAAAAGGGAGGAATATTTAATAGGCAAATAATATCTTGGTATTACTATGAAAATCATTTTGACCTTACGGACCCTTGAAAAGGTCTTGAAGACCCCCAGATCACACTTTAAGGATTTGTGCTAGAGCTGAGCTGACTCTAAAATAAAATTCAATAGGGATAAATGTAAAATATAAAAGTATTGGATTTAGATACAAAAAAAAACAACCTCAAAAAACATAGTACAATGGTGAAAATAACCAATTTGGAGTCAGAAGACCTGAGTTTGAATCTTGATTCTACCATTTATTTCTATAACCTTCAACATGTCGCTTAGCCTCCCTTGGACTCAATTTCCTCAACTTCAAAGTGAAGCAACCTCTAAGATTCCTTCCAGGTCTAATTGTGTGATGTCTAAGGTTTAACTCTAGCAATCTGAGCCTCAGTGAGGCTCTTCTAACAGGTAAACATGGATAAAAGAAGATGAATGTTTATGCTGAAAGCATTTACCTGTGCTTGTCAACCTCATAGGTCTTTTTTTTTTTCAAGTGTCCCTAGTACTTAGCACAGTACCTGGTACATAATAGGTGCTTAATAAATTCAACCTCGTATGTCTTTAATTTATACGGGAGCTTAGGATTCAATACAAGGTAGAAGCAGACATGGTTAAACAACAGTTATTCTGAAAAAGGATCTGGGGATGAGTCTTGCAGGCTCAGTCTGAGTGAGCAGTGTGATATAGTAGCCAAAAAGCTAATGCCATCTTGGGCTACATTAGGCCTAACTTCTAGGAATGGGGGCTCCTCCTATACTCTGCCTTTATCAGACCTCACCCGGAGGTCTGGGCGCCATGGTTTAAGATGGACAATGGTAACAATCTGGAAAATATCCAGAAGGGGGCAACCAGCATGGTGAAGAATTTTGAGTCCACATCATATCAGGAATGGTTGAATGAACTGGGGTTAACTTGGAGAAGACTAGAGGGAAGGGGGGTAGACAGGATAGCTGTTTTCAAGGATTTAAAGGGCTTTCATGGAGAAGTGGGATTAGAATTTTTTCTGCTTGAACCCAGAGGGCAAAACTAGTGGCAAAGGTTACAGGAAAGATTGAGAGGCCAATTTAGGCTTGATGTCAGGAAAAACTTCCTACCGATGTCCAAGAGTGGAATGGACAACCTGAAGAGGTGCTGGGCCCTTCAAAATGTTCAATCACTCCTCCTAGTATACTATAAAGGCGATTCCTCTTGTGCATAGATTGGACTAGACTAAGTTCCCTTTCTAGATTAACTAGATTAAGTTCCCTTTCAATTCTCTTGTCATTTACTTTTTAAATTCTGCTTCCACTTCCATGTAAAGCAAAATTAGCACAGAGTTATGGACTGAACCTGGGATTTTATTGGTAAAGGGAATTCCCAGATGAGGAAATCCCCTCTACCAATTCCAGCTGACACCTTCTCTGCAACTTGGAGTTGCCTAAGGAGTAACTGGTGGCACAGAGGATAAAGCACTGGGCCTGGAGCATGAAGACCTAAGTTCAAACTTACTGGCTGTGTGACCCTAGGCAAGTCACTTAACCTGTTTGTCTCAGTTTCCTCATCTGTAAAATGGGGATAATAATCCCACCTGCCTCCCAGGGTTGTTATGAGGATCAAATGAGAGAATTGCACAGCATTTAGCACAGTGCCTAGTACAAAGTAAGTGCTATATAACAGTGAAGTATCTCAGTGGCAGGATTTGAACCCAGGTCTTTCTGGCTTCAAGACCAGTTCCCTATCAAGACTCAGTGTGACTAAAATGCTCAGGGAAAATTACTATTTTACGTTTTTAGTGAAAAAGAGTGAAAGGGGGCAGCTAGGTGGCGCAGTGAATAGAGCTCTGGCCTTGGAGTCAGAGGATCTGAGTTCAAATCCAACCTTAGACACTTAACACTTACGAGCTGTGTGATCCTGGGCAAGTCACTTAACCTGATTGCCTCACCAAAAAAGAAAAGAAAAGAAAAAGAGTGAAAGACTTAGAATTAGAAGACCTGAATTCCAACTCAAGCCCTGACATACATTACCTCCCTTGGCCTTGAGCAAGTTACTTTATTGCTCCAGGCTTCAAATAATGGATTTAGACTAGATAAATCAATAAACAAGCATTTATTAAACACCTACTGTGTGCCAAGCACTGTGCCACGTGCTGAAGATACAAAGACAAAAATGAAACCGTCCCTGCCCTCAAGAAGCTTACACTCTACCATGGAAAACAACATGTACACATAAATACACAACATATACACAAAGTAAATCAGGGTAGTGGTGGGGAAGCATTAATGGTTGTTGGGATCACGAATGGCTTTACGTAGGAGGAGGACTTTGAGCTGAGTTTTTAAGGAAAGAGGTGGAAGTGAGGTGTGCATCCCAGGTGTGTGACATGGGAAAGGCTGAGCAAAGGCAGACAGGTGATGGAATGTCATGGGCAAGGAACAGCAAGGTGAGCTTGGCTGGATCCTAGAGGGCATGGAGAGTCACGGACAATCAAAGATAGGTTGCAGCAAGGTTGTAAAGGGCTCGAAATGCCAGAGACAAATCTGCATTTGATCCTGGGAGCAACAGGGAGCCTTCCTGCTCCAAATCCCATGGAAACCAACCAAATACATTAACTTCTAAGTGCCTGGCAGTGTCCTGCATATAGTAGGTATTTAACAAGCATTTGTTAAATTCAATTTTTGCAAATTATATCACTTTTTTTTTTTAAAGCACCTGCTGATCCTGGAAAACAGACCACTGGAAGCTTCCTTCCAGTTCTCTATGTCGGAGGTAGTCAACCTTTCCTGTGTCTGAATGCTAACCCATCAGGGTTCCATTCTCTAGAAAGGTACATTTTACTTTTCAGCCCAGTTCCAATACTTAGCTTCTTGCTGGGGGCCCCTGAGGGAGGCCTGCCTCTGAACAACCGGGAGAGACTGAATCGACCAGAACATTACATCTCACACAGACTATGAAGTGGCCATCAGATGCTAATGGCTCGATTACCCGTTAGGGCTTATTTGTATTCTGGATCAATAAGCCTGCTGTAAAGGACTCCATACTCCATTAATCCTCCCCTGATCCATCCAGTCCTCATGGACATCTACTGAAGTCAAGCACATGTTACGATGTATAACTGGGTCTAAATATAAATTAATGGCAGAAAGGCAAAGACAGTCTTAGTTCAACTGTGCTTAAGTATTTTGCTGCTTGTCCAAGCAGGAAGGGGTCCTGGAAATACACAATTAAGTTTTCTAAGTACAAGGTAGTGCCACCTTTCTTCTGGCCATTTGAAAAGTGGGTCACTGAGCTTTTCAAATAAAGTCAAAGGCTAGATGCTGTTTATTCCTAAAAATAACTGGGAAGTAAGTGATTTTTTAAAATGAAGATCTCAGCAACTAAAAAAGTGATAAATAAAAAGGTTGTGAGCTAAAGAATGGGGAACTCCTGAATAATGGATTATCCTGATTTTAATCCATCATCTGACACTCACTGACTTCTGTGTATGACTGGGCACTTCACTTAGGGCTCCAAGCAAGCAAATCTCTGGAGACAATAAATTATAGAGGTGGTGACTACTTGCATTGGTAGATGGGAGTTTCCTAATTCGGGAGTTCTCTACACCAAAGAAATCCAAGGTCCAGTGCCTAGACCAGGGGTGGGGAACCTGCGGCCTCAAGGCCACATGTGGCCCTCTAGGTCCTAAATGCAGCCCTTTGACTGAATCCAAACTTCACTGAACAAATACAGGGCCACATGTGGCCACAAGAAGGTTCCCCAACCCTGACCTATACTATCCCAATATTAATGCAAACTGAGAAATTTTAAACCAAAAGGGGCTTGCTTACATGTTCCACCAGTCTCCACCCCAAAACACTGATAAAGTTAGAGACTAAAGAAGGCATTCAGATTATGAAGAAAAGACACAATCTCTGAAAAGGAGGGTCATCTTTTAGGTGATTTTGAACGTAGATACCTTCCCTTCTATGGGATTCACAGCTAGATGTGTTTTTTTATTAAACCAGAGAGGTGAAGAGAAAAAAATACATATGCCTTGCCCTTCTTTGCAGAGAGGTGAAGGATTACGAGGGCAAAATGTTCTAAAAATATAGTCAGATACAGCAACTGTATTGGTTATTTTTAACTAGGTTTTTATTGTTGTTACAGGGGATTATTCAATTTCAGAAGTGTGAGAGTAAACCTCTCTCTGAAGTAGGAATCTCTCTGGTACGCAAAAATGACTGGGGTATAAAAACAAAAAATTACCAAGATAAAACTTGATTAAATAATTCTTTTAAAAATGAGAGTATTGTGCTCATCATTTGGGCATCATAAAAGATCATTTAATAAATTAGAATCCCAAACATAACCCTTTTGCTGACTGGAGATTTCTTGACAGAAATCATATGGTAGTGAATTCTATAAAGGCCATTTAATTTTCTCCATCCTAATTACTTTTTCAATACAACAAGAAAAAAAAAACAAACAAAAAAAAACATTGCACCAGAATTCAAGGACTAGAAGATATAGCAGCTAGCAGGAATATCTCACACACACACACATGCTCACCCTGCCCCTTTTTATTACCTCCTGCCTCACAAAGTCAAGAACCAATAAATACTCAAATCACACAAAACTCAGGAAAATGTGGAAAAAACACTGAGATCACTCTGTCCAACACAGAGACACACAGTACCCATGATCACTTCCTATAGCTATCTTTGGATATTTAACTTAAATGGCCATAATTATATATGAAATGTGCAATATATGTCATGACAATTTTTCTTTAATTTAGCTTTTAAAGAATCATGAACGGATGTGACCTGAATCACCAAAAATTACAGCAGTCTTGTTAATCATCCTTGAGAAACTGTCACTCCAATAAGCCTACTACCCTTTGGATCCAGGTTTCAGGCTTGCAAATACTTTGGGGTTTTTCAGGGCGTGTGAGAGTTCATTGAGGAAGGAGAGGAAATGGGAATCTTTTTCTGATTTCTTAGACTCAAAAATGACAACAATGGTAAAGTGAGGCTCTGGGCGGGTCAGGAAGTAGGTGCTCTGGACTTTGTCATCGTAGAAGTGGACAATTTTCTCCAAGGTGTTCAGGTCAGAGGTCCGATCAGTCATGATCATGATAACATTGGGCCAGTGCATAACAGGCCTGTCACTGGGCAGGGATACCACAGCTGGGTACTGATCCACTCCCTTTGGGGCCTCTCGGTAGGAATGAGGGTGATGGTAACCATGCCCCTGGAAGCTCTCAGACCCTCTGTTGTCAAAGATCAAAGACACATTGGCAGCATCGTACTTCCTAATAAAGCTAGAGATCTTCCCAAAAAGGTCAGGATTGGCTTTCGCAGTCAGTGCCTTCATTTCCGACACGGTTGTTTGGCGGCTCAGGGCTTCATGAAAATAAAAGCTAAACTTGGCAAGGAGCATGTTCTTGAGTTTCATCAGCCAGAGGAAGAGGTGCGGGGGCTGGACAGCCTTCTGAGACTGCCCGCCGAACAGATGCTTCTTAGTCTCCCGCTGCTTTTCAAAGATCTGGCCCCACGTCTGCAGCTTGGTGTGGGCGCTGTGTAAGTTGACCAGGGAGGGGAGGAACTTCCACTCAGAGATCTGAGCCTGGGACTTTAAGAGATGGGCCAGGACATCAACTTCCAGCTGGAAACTGCTCTCCAAGGGGCTGAGAATTGGGTGGTGAAATCTAGAGAGAAGTAAAAAACATTTTAAAAGAAATAAGTAGAAATATTATTCAATGTAGATTTTGCTTGCCAAAATAAAAATACATTGGTCAGTTAAATGCTGTAACAGTAGGATCAAGGAGTGGGGAAAATGGAAGAATTCCAAGCCAATTCAAAGTCATTCTGAATACGTCTCAGCTTCTTAAGTCAATTTTTAATTCAGAAATGTCTGCACATATTTTTAGACTTTGTCCAATGAACTTATCAGTTATGTTGATTTTCTTTTTTTTCTTTTTTATTGTCTTTAAAATGACTATATTGTTATATGGAATAGTTCTCTGGGAGGGAAAAACTAATGACATCAATAAAAACTTCCAACAACTTCACTTTACGGCTATGCAAATTGAGACTTTCTAGAACAGTTCCTTTGTGTGGCAAATTCAATACAGGGCCCTTTTTCAAAAATAAAGCTATTCTTAATCTTGATTATAATTCTTCTTTATTGCTTGACTCTGTTTATTGTTTATTGTAGAAGTAATATCGCCATGTAAGACAAACATTTTTTTTCCCCTTCTGGCTATTGGTTTTAAGGACACTATAAGGATACCCAAAGGACTATAAGGACACCATAAACCTAAGCAGACAGACAATAACTCAGCCCTGGCTCCCAAAAGTCTGTCACACTTACACAATATGATAAGAAATAATAAAAGCTAGCACTTGAAGGTTCTGCTTACAGCAGCCCTGTAAGATAAGGTACTATTACTATCCCCACTTCACAAATGAGGAAACCAGCACTGATGGAGGTTAAGTGTCTTGCACAGGGTAAGTGTCTGAGGCAGGATCTGAACTCAGGAGGTGATTCAGAAGCCAAGTCCAATACTCTATCCACTGTGCCACTGAGATGTTTGGGGGAAAAAAAAAAAGAACATAGTTAATATATAATTTTTAATTATCTTCATTTTGGTTTCTTCTCTATTAATTGTCTTTGTGTAAATATTGATCTGTTCCTACTAATAAGGTTATTTATTCAGAACTTGATAATTAGGAAGCACTATTTCCATAACAATTCTATGAGATCAGCAGTACCCAGGTACTAGCTGCACCTTCCCTCATTCCCCTTGGCTCACTAGGGGAAATGGAATACTCCTTGCTCCCTACTGCCATTCCCAGGTTCTCCCTGTGCCTCCATTCCTCTGCAATCCCTCCTCCTCTCTGTTCATATCTACTACCCAATCAAAGTCCTGGCAGCAACATGTCTACAGGCTTCCAGGTCACTCTCCTTCCTTCCTCAATGAGGTCAGTACCTGGCTCATAATTTTTTTCTCCTCCCCAATTCCTGCCCTCATACTAGGGGGTTTCAACATAAATACTCAAATGCCTCAACTATTTGGTTTCTCAACCTATGACACTTCCCATGACCTACTCCCACAACCAACCTACACACACACAAGGTCATGCCCTTGATCTTGCCATCACCCACAATACATGTTCAAGAATTCTGAAATCCCCCCATCTGACCATCATCTATCCATTTTTCACCTCTCCCTCTGCCTTCACCAAGACCCTTCAATTCTCCCATAGGCTACTTCCTCCGCACTAACCATTCTACTTTTGTACCCATCTTGACCCCTTGGTCAGTCAGCTCACTTCTACATGATCTTCCTCACTAACGGGCAGGTCTGACCCTGTCACCCCCTACTCAATAGACACCAGTGGCTCCTTCGTGCCTCCAGGATCAAATACAAAATGCTTTGAGATTCAAAGCCCTTCAGAACCTAAGCCCCTCCTACCTCTCCAGTCTTCTCATACTTCACTCCCCTACCCCAACTCTTCAGTCCAGCAACACCAGTCTCCTGGCTGTTCCATGAACAAAGCACTCCATCTCTCACCTCCAGGCATTTTCTTTGGCTCTCTTCCATGTCTGAAATGTTCTCCCTCTTCCACTCCCACTACTGACCTCCCTGGCTGCACTAAAATCCTACCTTCTACAAGAAGCCTTCCCCAAGCCCTCTTAATTCTAGTACCTTCCCTCTGTTAATTATTTCTCATTTATCCTGTAGATAGCTTGCTTTGTATATATTTGCTTGTACACTGTCTCCCCCATGAGATTGTTAAGTTTCTTGAGGGCAGGGACTGTCTTTTGCCTTTTTTTCTTATCCCCAGGACTTAGCACAGCGCCTGGCACATAGTAGGCACTTAATAAATGTTTACTGACTGACAGACTAACACAAGTGATTGCTTAACCCATTTAATAAATAAGAAAAGGCTTAGTAAAGTTAAGTTTTCCCATAGTCACACAACCAAGGGGCACTGCCCACACTCAAACCTGGGTCTTCTGACACCAAGTTCAAGGCTTTCTATGCTATAAAAGGCTGCGTGTTTCTCACCTAATAGCCAGTTAATTTAACTCTGCCTCTTGTCAGGACCCACCTAGCACTTTTTTCTTTCTTGATGAGAAAAGCCTCCTGGCCCACCCAGTGTTTTCAGATGTGGGCTATACAGATTCATGAGGTCTCTCCTGTTAAATACACAGAAACCACCCTTATAAACTTTATAACCTTTAGAAGGATTTATAGAAGCTACAATTTCTCTGGCAGGATTTCCTGAACAGGGGAGTTCCTGTCACATGGCTAGTCCATAAGTATTTGAATATTAAATTTTTGGGGGTCTCCTCACCCACACCCGGGGAAAATGAGAAGAAACAAGTGAGGGATAAACAAAGGCAGGTTACATGAAGACAGCTAGATGGCCCACTGGACAGTGCACTGAACTTGGAGTCAGGAAGATTTGAGTTCAAATCCAGCCTCAGATGCTTATTAGCTATGTCACTTAATTGCTCTATGTCTCAGTTTCCTCATCTGGGTGAGGATAAAATAAGGATAATAATACCACCTATCATTCCAAGCTGATGTGAGGACAAAATGAGACATTTGGAAAGCGCTTTGTAAACTTTAAAGAGCTATATAAATGCTAGTTATTATTATTATAACATTTTTAAAAGTCACATAGACCTGGCATTTTTCCTCAGGGGAACTCAAAGTCCTTTACTAGTAATATATCGCGCCACACTGTGGGATGGAAGAGAATCTGACGGAGTGTTATGTGACTCAATATCAAAGCAGGGCTCGGAGGCTATGGAGTGGTGGGTATGCAACAAGGGCCTTTCCAGCCCTAAATCTATGATCCTAGAGCATCCCATGGATCGGTCACTGTCCAGGCTCCACTTGCAGAGCTCCAGTAAGGGGGAAGTCCCTTCCTCCTGTGACATCAAATCATAGACTTCAAGCTGGACGGAGCCCTAAGAGTCACTGAGTTCAGCCCCCTGTTTTACAGATGAGAAAACTGAGGCCTAGAGAAGTAAAGCGACTTCTCCCGGGTCACACAGGCAGTAAGGGTAGAGCTGACCTTCACCCAGGCCCTACGGCTCCAGATCTGGCACTCTCACCACCTCCAGTTCCATTTTCAGACAGTTCTAATGGTTCCAAAGCCTCTCTTTAGATTGGGCTAAAACCTGTGTCCTTGCAGCTTTCACCCACTGGGCCTGGTTCTGTTCTCTCAGGAGGAAAAACCCACCCAGCCACTCTTCCCCATGGGACCACAGGATGGCAGGCTTGGCACTGATGGGGACCTGGCATCAATCCAAATATCTCAAGGCGGCTCTCAAAACTCCCCTTCTCCCTGTCTCCAAGTATTCTCTTCTCTGGACTAACCACCACCAACTCCTTTAGCCTAGCATGCTGTCCTCCACAACCTGGTCAGCATATTCCAAAATGGGGCCCCCGAAACTGTTCACAACACTTAAGATGTGGTCTGTGAGAAGGATCCAATGACAGGTCTATTGAGTGGTAAGACGGTCTCCCTCCCTTGCTTCAGGACCCAAACTTTCATTAAGACAGCCTAAGATTAGAGGCTTAGAAAAGACCAAGAAGGAATCCTCCATCAAGGCAAGGTAAAGCTTCTGTGGAAGACAGCTGTGAGGTCTTGAACTAGAATCAATTGTTCAAACAATCAGAATTCATTAAGGGACTACTATTGCCAGGAACTGGGCGAGGTGCTAGGGCTACGAGAAGAGAAATGAGATAGTTCCTGCCTTCAAGGAGCTTATATTCTATCAGGGAATTGCCGAGGTGAGAAGACAATGAGGCACTGCAATCTGCACCTCGGGAGGGTCCGGCAATGAAAACATATTCATTGAAGTATGAAGTCACATTAACTCTTTACATCCCACTGTCTCCTCACCCTGAGCTTGCCATCAGCTAGCATCCCTACGTCTCTTGCAGTGAATCGCTTCCTAGACAGACCCACCTCAGCCTGTCTTGGTGCAGCTGATTTTTTTTTTGGCCACATGCGGGATTTTGCATTTATCCTCGTCACACTTCCCCCTGCTCACTTCCAACCTGTCAAAATGTTCTGGGAGCCCAATCCTGTCAGCCAGTGTATCAGCTATTCCTGTCTACTCTGTGTCACTTAAATATAGGGGCAGCATTTGGCCTCTGTCCAGTTGATGACAAAACGCTGGCCAGAACAGAGCCAAAGACAGGGCCCTGACGACAATACAGAGTTACTAAGATCCAAATAAAAGTATTTTTGTTTGAGTAATCTACTGCTATCAATTAATTAATAAATATTTATTAAGCACCTATATGCCAGGCACTGGGTTAAGCCCTGAGGATAAGAGGCAAAAAACCAGTGCCTGCCCTCAAAAAGCTGACAGTCTCATGGGGAAAGCCAACATGCAAACAAATATTTACAAAGTAAGCTATCTAAAGGATAAACAGGAAATAATTAGCAGAGGGAAAACACTAGAATTAAGGAGTTGGGGAAGGCTTCTTATACAAGGTAGGATTTTAGTGAGGACTTGAGGGAAGCCAGTGAGGTCAGTAGCTGGAGTGGATGAGGGAGATTATTCCAGGCAAGGAGGAGAGCCAAAGAAAATGCCCAGAGCTGAGATGGAGTGTCTTGTTCATGGAACAGCCAGGAGGCTAGTGTCACTGGACTGAAAAGTACACGTTTGGGAGTA